GTTCGCCCCAGGAGGGGGAACCTCGTCGACGTAGGTGCGTGTGGACTTCCAGGAAGCCATCTCGGCGTCCATGGCTGTCTGCCACTGAGAGGAGTAGGGACCCACCATCGCCTCAGCGTAAGTGCGCGGGGTCGGGATGTCTGGTGCATCCGGGTCTTCCTCAGGGGCAACTAGCAAGGACACGAGACGGGGCAAGACAGCAGCAAGGCACTGGAACTCCTCCTGTCTGTCCTCAAGGACGTCCGTGCCAAGAGCACACTCACCCCCGACGGACGGAGAACAGACAGACTCAGACTCAGACTCAGCGACAAGGCTAGCAGCGTAGTTTAGACGACAGGCAGCAGCAAAGTCAACCAGCTCAGCGACTAGAGCAGACGCAGCAGAGGACTCAAAGGTAGGGTCAGTGACAACAATAGCGAGGAGACGCGTGACAATGGGACTGGCAGCACGACGGGAGTCAGACTCCGGGTCAGGAAGAGTAGGAAGAGAGGAAGCAGGAGGAGACGGCAGAGGGACACGCTGAGGAGCAGTAGAGCGACGCAGAGTCATGTAATGAGTGCCAGGGACAGGAGGAGGACGCTGGCGTGGGACACGACGACCAGTGCACGCAGTACGAACAGGCGACGCAGGACGAGACTCAGGCTCACGACGCTCTGTAAGACCTCCTGTGGGACCAGCGTAAGGAGAGGGAGCAGGGAGAGGCGAGGTAGGCGGTAACTGTGACTGCGGCTGGACAGGCGGTGGACACTCTACGGAGGGAGGAGGACAAGGAGGAGGAGTCTGCCCAAGAACCTGCTGAAGGAGCGGTACGAAGTACGGTCGCGGCCGCGCAGCATCTCCAGAACCAGCAGAGACACCAGCGGCAGGGTCCTCAGCACCAGCAGCAGCTCCAACGTCCGGGTCCTCAGCACCAGCAGCAGCTCCACCGGCCGGGTCCTCAGCACCAGCAGCAGCACCACCGCTCGGGTCATCAACTCCAGCAGGAGCTCCAACGTCCGAGTCCCCAGCACCAGCAGCAGCGCCACCGCTCGGGTCCTCAGCACCAGCAGCAGCTCCAACGCCCGGGTCCTCAGCACCAGCAGTAGCGCCACCCCCTGTGTCCGCAGCACCCGGAGCACCACTCCGAAGACTGCAGCGCCGTGTGTACCACTCTCGGATCTGCTGAATGGGGGGGAGCTCCTGGGTAGGAGGGGAAGTACCGGGACGAGCTCCAGCAGCACCTCTCCGGAGGCGGCAGTACTCGAGGTACCTCTCCTGCAGCTGCTGGGAGGAGAGGGCTCCTCCAGGTGTAGCACGCTCAGTCTCAGCACCCCCAGACTCAGCACCCTCAGACTCCGCACCCCCAGGCTCAGTACCTCCAGGCTCCGCACCTCCAGGCTCCGCACCTCCAGGCTCAACACCCCCAGGCTCCGCACCCCCAGACTCAGCACTCCCAGGCTCAGCACCCCCAGACGCAGCACCTCCAGGCTCAGCACCCCCAGACGCAGCACCCCCAGGCTCAGCACCCCTAGCAGGACGAGAGTCAACAGCTACCTCGACAGGCTCACCCGGGTCTACCTGGGACACACCTGAGGGAGCGGCACCCTGAGGGGGGAGGGGGTCTGGTACCTCAGCACCTGGAGCAAGGAAGAGAGGCGGGGGGGGGAGTGGGGCAGTGCGGTAGGGGAAGAGGCGGTAGTAGGGGACGGACTCGTCAAAAGTGACGTCCTGAGAGGCCAGGACACGACGCGAGGTGGGGTGGTAGAACTGCCAACCAGGGGCGTCCGGGACAAAGCCAAGGAAGACGCAGGGGACAGCGCGACGGGAGAGCTTGTCCGCGGACGTGTCGCGGACAAAAGCTCGGGATCCCCAGACCCGAAAACGCGACGCATCGCCAGCCTCTCCCGTCCAACGCAGTGTCGGAGAAGTCTCGGGCAAGGAGACACGGGGCCAGAGGTTGAGCTGATGCGCAGCGTATCGGACCGCAAATGGCCACAGAAAATGGGGGGCAGCCGCATGACTCAAGGAGGTACGAGCGACCTCCATGACTAGACCAATGTGGCGCTCAGCAACCCCATTCTGCTGTGGAGAGGCCGGAAGCGTGAACGACTGCTCAATGCCCTCCTGCTGACAGAAGGCCTCCAGGAGGCTAGAGGAAAACTCCCCACCTCTGTCAGAGTGCAGACGCAGGACAGGGAAGTCGGAGCAGAAACGCTCACTGAGCTGGAGACGAGATCTGCGGATCCAAGGGATCAAGACATCAGGGACTTCACCCTTGGCTCGCAAGGGGAAGACCGTGGTGTAGCGCGAGAAGTCGTCAACAACAATCAGGAAGTACCTCTCCTGACCCTGTCCACGGACGCGGGCTGGGCCCCACACGTCCAAGTGGAGCGTCTGCAAAGGAGCAGTCGTCGGGGGAAAGGAGGAGGAGTGAGGAGCGGCGCGCTGCCGCCCCTCGACACAGGGAATACAGGGAGGAGCAGGCGAGTCTGGGAGGGGAGGGAGAACCCTGGGAAGACCA